AGGTCGCAGTAAACATTGTCTCCCGACAAGGTCATAGAGCAAAGCTTTTCGAAGTCAAAGTCTAAGACATGCCTGGCAGAAGTTCCACACCTGATGATTGATTGATATGTTTGGATCATTTTGGATATATGATGATATATGATGATATATGTGTATATTCCTCCTTATTCAAATCCCATTTAAATGATCTTCCCATTCCAAGCGGGAAACGTTTTCCGGCCGGATGGAAGGGCCGAAGGATGCGTCTCGGGGATGCGTCTCAGCTGCCGCCGGGGGTACACTGGATCATTCAAATATGAAACACGATGAAACCATCCATTTGGGAAAAATATAATTTAATATAAGTTAGTGTTAATATGATATTAATATAATATAATATAATAAAATGTAATGTAATGTAATATAATGCAATATAATGTAATAGAATGTAATATAATAATCTAATATAATAAAACCAAAGTATATAATATTATTTCATATCATATCATATAATTATATGTGTATATATGTGTCAGAGTTGCTTGTAAGTGTTTTTGTTTGTTTGAGACTTCTTGTGAATCTCGTGCAGCAGTCACAATGCCCTCCATGGGGCCCCCAAGCATTGCGCGCCCTCTATATATATATACATATATACACCGGAGTATGATTATCCAGTTGGATAATTCATATTATCCATACCATATTGGATCATTTGAGGCATCTACAGTGTTGAACCATTCCCAACAATGAAAAGTTTTGCCAATGCCGCTGCCAACGGAACTAAGTACACCCGCGGAGTCTTGAGAACAAGTCAATCCACATCGACACCAGCGCCACCGGGCCTGTTGATGGTACCCAAGTAGGGGCAATCCATTCCTTTGGAAAGGTCGGCTGCGGAAGTTCCACAAGACATTTGATCAAGTCTCTCCCTCTCTCTCTCTCACACATTGAATCAATCAGAATCTCCACTCTCTAGATGGTTCATGTTTTGCTGAAATGCTGCAGGTTGGTGGTTTCAAACCCGAAAGAAATCAATAAGTCATTGGGATTCATTGGGAATCTTCCTGCTACGAATCTTCCACCGGAGGAACATCGAAAATATGAAGGGGTCGGCTACCTCCACATTTTTCCTCAAGATAACCGTTGTATGGTCTCCCCATATTTTCAGATACCAAACCCAGACTATCCATACTAGATCTTCTTGGCTTTCTCTCATTCCCATACTACATCGCCATATCTTCCGGTTGGGTAGCTGTTGACTCTGCAGATCGAGGCACGCTGTGGTACCTCTTCGGTCTTCTTCTTTTTCTTCACCTGATGGAGTCAGCCCACACCATGGCAAATGTTGGCGAATGTGCCAGAGGATGGGTGAAATTAGCGGTATATTCCTGCGATAGCCAGAGGATGTAATAGGATATAATCAACAATGATGAACGATAGCATACGATAGCCAAATCCAGAACTATAAATTAACAGAAGATTATAGAATTATTAATCTCCAAAATCGTTGGAGAATTCTTGCCGCTATTTCATGTGGTTCAATAAAGGATGATACCAGCCAGAACGTGAGATGGGTCAGCACCTATGGCCCATTCATCAAATGGGGGTAACATACATCAGGTCTAACCAGGATCCAACCGACCCAACTGGTGATGGCACATGTGGCTTTGCGGATGGTTATGGGCCAAAGTATCATACCCATCAGAGCACAAATTGACTGGCAAATTGTACTGATTGGCCACCCCATGTGTTTGTGTTTTCAGTACGCGATTTTGACCCACACCCAAATGAACGGTACGTGGTTTGTGTTGTTGGTCATTCCTTGGCTCTGGCGGTGTTGTGCCCTGTCATTTCCTGCATGCTTTCAGGAGGTTCATGTCTCAGCTGTTGAGCACTTTAGAGTTCCTACATAAGGACAGCCAGTGCAGAGTCGATCTGTTTTTGTGCATGCAAACACGCCAGGCACACGTCACGATCTCTTCCCAATGTCCGCAAGCTCCGAAAAACAGCTCAAGAGTCTTAAAGGAATTGAAATTGGGGCCGCGGCCTGGGGCTCGTCTTCTTCTTCATCCTCAACGGGCCTCTTCGCTGGTGGCAAGTCCTGCATCTGGATGTCAAAATGACCCTGCAACTTGTCAAACAAAAAGGTAAAGGAATCAGGAATGCATGCTCTCACTCCAAATTTAACAGGACATAATGTGGTAAACCCAATGCCATAAACAATCCCAAAATCACGCAATGGGTGGTATAAACCATCCGAAAATGGTAGGTTTGTGGCATTGGGTTGCCCATTACTGAATCCAAGTCTTTGTAACCCCGAGGCAGGCCCAGCAATGTCTCCTGAGCAGACATCCCGATGGTTTCGATGGTCGTTTTTGGTACAACGAAATTGACCCACAAAAAGGTGGAATGTTTGCACGTGGATGCATCCCTAGTACATTTGTGCAATTTGACTCTACGAGATGGAACTAGGTTTGAAGCAGTCTCACCCGATGTAACAGAGCCCAAGACATCTTTGTCATTTCAGTATATGTCGCTCAAGTTTGAGCCAGAAACTACGGTCAGATACAGTCAGGTTATTTCTTCGCGGAAGTTGACTGGCTGCATTGGGGCATCCAGTCCAGCTCGCATTCTTCAGCTCAATCCACACGCCATCATCCACAAGGCATCACATGACATCACTAGACACCTGGAATATCCTCATATATCTCACATGCTGCTTAGTACCACAACGGAGACGCCCCAGGTCGCCCCAGGTTTTGCTCTGAAGCTTCCCAAGTCTTTGGTCCCTTTACGGCGAGACAAGCCGACAAACGCTGCACGATGCAGGCTCCGAGGTCCCGATGGCGGCGTATGCCTTGGCCACAGCCAGGCGCCACGCGTTGCCACGCGTCCCCGCGGGTGCCATGCCATGCCGGCGCGCCTTGGGCGTGTTTGCCTCGTTGAGCCAAACCTTCTAAAGCGTTCCAAATTGATCCAAATTTATTCCAAATTGCTTAAATTGGGCTTTGAAAGGAGCTACACATCTTGTTTGGACGGGAACATGTACAAGGCGCTCCCATGTTCAAGTATTTTCAAGTGAAGATCTGCATGTGGCACCATCCCCAACCAGGATGGCAGGATTGGAAGGTTCGAGCTCATCAAGTCGCAGGCACGGCGCTAACCCCGTCAGAAATCTGATAAAGTATCCAAATGATTGGAAGATGTAGCTGTTGGATCTCTTGAATTCCTGTTGAATACACCATTACGACATGTTGATTTGGAAGCTTCGCAAGTAACCATAGAATTTCTTGGTGCGGAGTTCGCCCTAGGCATTCACACCTGCATCTGATCATTTGATCTAAAAAGGAGGCCTGATCTCAGGAGCCTCAAAGATTTGATGATTGCAGGGTCGCTCCCAAAAGAAAATCAGAACCAAAGTAGATCCAAAAATTGGGCAGTTTGGGTGCCAAAGCTGCAAAATCCAATAAATTTCATCAAGCTTCAATGAATGCCGGTTTTTGTTTTGTTCCTAGGAGTCTTCCCACAAGAAACTGCGCAACAAAAAGCAACAACTGAAAACCAATGCACCGCGACCCATCTGCCAAGGCAGTGATAGATTTACGTAGGCGGAAGATCAAATTTGAAGCAGTGCTCTCGACTGCTCAGACCTTAGGCCTACAAATAGTTGAGGCCTTTGGAACTCAGGTGGCTCAGGGGAGAACTTCTCGTGCAACTTCAGAAGTTAATCCAGTTGCTGAAAAAATGATTTGAAGAAATGGTGGATTTTTGCTGAAAGGAATGAAGACCTGCTTGTTGGATGATTTTGTTGTCGCCCTGAAGAAGGGCCTCTGAAACTCACCGTCACAGAACTAGGCGATGCGTCTTGATAGCATTCAGGTTTCCATCCTCAGCCCATCCGCTAGGCCGCTCGGCTCCGTAGCCAGCAATTGGAACCCCATTCCGTCCTACGGTTTGGAATCACCAGGTTTTGGACAAACTCATATCAGACTGTTATTCACACATATCACAAATCTCACTACATCTCATTCCATCCCCATTACATCCCCATTACATCCAGATATTGGCATCTCTGAAAATGGGGTAGCCCTAGGTAAATCTTTTGGTAAACCCTCATTTGAACAGTGTTCTTTGAACCTCTTTCGTCCCTTTATATTGGTTGTTCAATATGAAATCCAACTTCATTGCTTGTGATAGTATCCCCAACGAGGCCAATTAATAGCGGCTAATGATAACATCTGGTTGGTGGTTTTTACCATATTGGTGGTTTCCCATATATTGTGGAAAACTTGAGGCCGGGGGTGGATGACGAAAGCTAGCGGGGTAGGAGAAAGAAGGAAGGGAAGACGTATCGTCAGTGTCAGCAGGGAAATGATGGTGATGATGATGCTCCTGATGATGATGATGATGATGACGATGATGCTGATGATGGTGATGGTGGTGGGGTTGGGGGGGGCGGGGGAGGGGGGGGGGGGGGGGCCCTTTCGCGTGCAAAATCACGTGATGTCCTTGAGCAGCCCCCGGAATACTTGCTAAAGCAAGAAGACTCCAGCTAGCTGACGCTAGCTTTCGTGATAAAATTCATGTTTGAAACCACCAACCAGGCATAGTAGAACTTATCATCAAGGTCCCCGGTAGATCGCAACGCCCGTTTTCCCCGCAGCCGCCGTGACCACTGAGGCAAGGGCGTCAGGGCATGTGTCAACTGTAGAGATCATGCTGCCCTGGCAGAGATCACCCGTGAACGGCTGTCGCTACTGATATGTACTGTATCTATTATATTCAGATTAATATACCCTCTGGTTGTCTGACATAGCCATAGCTATGGAAACCCACCGTTTGTTAATAGGTAAATCCTCTATAAATTACTATAAGTGGGCCATTTTCTATAGCCATGTTAAATTACCGGAGGGTATACGGTTAGTAATTAGATGATAAATGTTAATAGGTTATCATCACTATTACATCAGATAGCAATGGATCTATCATCGTTTATACCAATCTTCCTGTGTTGTGCGCTCTGGCATGTATTGCCATTCCATTCAAAACATATGTGTTCTGAATCCGTATCTCATTAAATATCTCAAATAGGAAGATCTACTTCAAAACAGATGGAATTTCTCATTCAAACTAGCATGATACATCTCAATGTCCTCTCTCAAAGATCTTAGCCTCTCAACAGATAGAGGTTTCCTAAAATAGGGCCATACCATGGTATACCCAGTTGGGTATGGATCAATACCTATTAATACCATTTTTTGTGGGTTATTCACATCCATAAATCCCAGCTATTTTGATGTGAACTACAGGGGTACAAGGTTTTGACCCACTGCCAGTTATCATCTACCCTCTGGTAATTTAACATAGCTATTGAAAATGGCCATTTATAGTGAGTTTTCCCATTAAGAATGGTGATTTTCCATAGCTATGTTAGTTTACCAGAGGGTAAGAGGATGTTCCATCACAAACCATCCATTTTCGAAGCAAAAACCTCGAAATGCAAGCCGCAGATCTGTCGCCCTGGCAACGAAGTAAAGCGCCGGGAGCCAAAAGCCTGGCGAATCCGGACCAGGGACGTTGCTTTTTTGGGGCTGAAGCAACCTGTAGAGAATATGAGTATATATATATATAAATATAATATAATATATATATATATATTATATATATATATATTATATATAATATATATAATATATATAATATATATAATATATATAATATAATACATATATATATATTATATATATAATACATATATATATATATATTATATTTTATATATATTATATATATTATATATATTATATATATATTACATATATTATATATATTATATATATTATATATATTATATTGTGAACAAATAAATCCTTGTTCCGGATGTTGATATTGAACTGTGATACCTGTTACGCTGGTAGTTCCGGGCGGCAATACCGCATGGCAGGCAAAGCACGGACTTTTCCTCGCGCAGGGACTTGAGCCAGTACGGCGTTTCGACATACGGTGATGTATGTACATGACAAGTGCCCTATCGTTTAGTTCCCTTTGACACCCCCCATGCCCGTGGTATTCTTCGAACCACGGACACGAGAGAGGGAACTTTGAATTAGATTGTCTCTGCTACTTGAATTACGCCTATATACATAAAACATGCCATTCGGCTCCCCCTTTCCCACATACCCGACGGGAATAATGGTCCAGGGTTCGCCTACTCTATGGCTGTCGATGCACTGGCGCCTCTTCTAGCTGTACATCGTGAATTATTGCTAGCTAACACCTACTTTTCTACGTTGGCTAGGCATACCACTCGCCCGACGGGAGAAATGGATCGCTTCGCTACCAAAGATTTACAATGCTAACTAACGAATTCACGTGCACTGTGCAGAACTTCGTGCAGATTGGGAATAATGAAAATCTCGGACCTAAGCGAATTAATCTACTGCCTCGCTCAGAGTCCACTCAGTTGGTCTTTTCCTGATCATCTGTTCACAAAGACGATACACATCTTATAGTCCAGTGATCATTTGGATGAACAGAGGTGGTTGGTTTACTGCTCACGGCGGACTTTCTTCCATTGAGGTGTTGTTGGGGATTTCTCCCATCCTGCCGCACGTTTCGGAGCAGCTTTCGGCGATGAAGGCTTCGCAGGTGGTGCTTTTGACGGTTCATAGGATCTCGGCATAGCCTTAGCCTTTGGTGCACTAGCCGATGAGGATGATGCTGAACCAGTGCCTTCAGGTTTCTGTGAAGGTTGTGCTGTTGATTTGGCTTTCGCGTCTGCGGTGGCAAACTTGGAAGCGGCACTACCTCCGACTGCTTTGAATACCTCACTCACCACTTCGTCACCAAGGGTTGGAGCCATCTTCATTTTCATCTCGGTCTTTCCCCTCTGCCCCTCGGCTTCAGCCAGTTGAATAGCATAGGCCATCTTGCTGACAAAGTTTTGAGGCAACGGACTCCCGCACTGTTGTGCAGCAAAGAGTAGTTCCACCCTTTGTTCCTTTTCTCTCAGACTCAGATATACCGAGAAAGCTGGGAGTTCAATGCAGTTGGGGAAGCCGTGGTTCCCGGAACGAAAGAAGGTGTATGATTCATGTTCTGGAAAGGTTCCTTTCAGCAGTCGTCGGAGAAAGTTGCTGATGGTCACTCTCATCTCCTGCTTCCCTTGTGCATCAGCCTGCATTCGATTCATTGGCATGAGGAAACCCAAGGACTCGGGAGTGTACCCGGCACACACGAGAAACTCCATCATCTTTTCATAGATCTCTAAAGTCTTGACGACAGGCATCATCATGTTTCTCGGTCGTCCAGAGTACATCTTCTCTCCCTCTGACCATGAGTTCTTCTTCCCTTTCTCCTGAAAGAGTTCGTCCAATTCCAGCTCCGTCGGTCGCTTGAGGTTGCCATCCTGGTCTTCGCCTGTATAAGGACAGAAGTCGTCCAGGTCCAGCCGGACTCGCTTAGTTTCCGTCATCATCGCATAGTACTCCTCTGGGGTCAGAGTAACTCTCTGTTTGTAGTAGAGTCTGAACATTGCGATGATCTTTGACATCACGGCGTTGTCGTATAAGTGAGCCGCGGCCTCGGAGACATCATTGTTGACAAGTCCGTCTCCCGGCATACCCTTGCTTCCGCACTCAAGATTCTTGGTCCATGCTGGTAGTTTGGATGAAGGTTCATTCTCAGGTTCGACCTCCATCTCATCGTCATCTTCTTCTTCAACGATTTCGTCGTCTTCCTGTTGAGTTTCCTCTTCCTGATCCATTTCTTCATCATCGCCTTCATTGTAGTCGACCTCATCAGGGTTGAAGCCATAGTCGTTGGATTCGGATACGTTTTCTTGTGCTTGATGGACCGTATCCTTGAACAACGATTCTTCTTGTCGGCGAACCTCTTCATCAAGCTCTTTCTTTGTGGCCTCATCTTCATCGTCTTCAGGAGCTTGTAGCCGATATGGACGGATTCCACAGCTTTCAGGTTCTGTCCAGCAAACTAGACACACTGCAAGCTTCGTCGGCGTCTCATTGAGACAATGAGGACAATGACGGCAACCTGAAGTTTGCACCCTTTTGCGTTCGACTATGTAGTCAATCAGCTTGATGCGGGCCAGGTATTGCTCTTGTCCGCCAGGCTCAATGAGGTTTTGAATTGGTGGACGATGTTCATGGCATCCATGGTGGTCTCGTCATACGGTTGGTCTTCGGCGTCGATGCATTGACTTGCGACCCTCAGGATGGACTCCTTGGTGGCTACAGTTCTTGATTTGACAGTGCCAGACCGGACTACCTGGTCGTCGCCCGACGGGACGAACAACCGGAGCCATGTCTTGTTGTACTGGTCCTTGGGGTCCTGAATCCATCCTCCTTTGATAGCCGAAAACGGGATGATCTTTGGTGAAACGATCTGTCCCGAGTCAGTCAATCGACCGCCATATTCCACCATCAAGGTCTCGGTCGGGATGAACAGGCAGATAAAGTCCCCCTTTCGCGTATCAACGCTCTTCGTGATGGTCCATGATCTATGATCCCATGGCACATACGGGTTGAAGAACGTGAACATCCGATGACCTTCTCCAAGACCTCCTGGGATTAACCCTTGCCTCCAAATGCTTCGGAGGTTGGTCTTCTTCGTGATGTGGAAACAGACCGGTAATGACATGATGGTGTTGGGTGCGATTGGATGCGAAAGCAACGATGACAGCAAGGAGACGTCATCTCTGGAAGATCCTTCCTTGTGCCCCGTTGGGGCGCGGACTGCCACTGGGTAGAGCAGTAGCCCTTCGTCGGGGATGTGCGTGTCAGCATCAACTTTGTTGTCAATGCATGTCAGGCTGCTGCGATCAATATCCTTGTTGATCCCGAAAGCCAAGACTTGTTCACGCACACGACGTCCATACCGAGCACAATGGAACATGATCTTGAACAGCAATGTCATGCGAAAGTTCGCCTCATTGACGTTCCATGCATCTTGATCATTTGCTCTTCCTTTGGGGGCAAGGAAGACGTGTGGCCAGCGTGCGTGCTTGTGTCTCCAAATGGACTCACATTTCGAGGTCTCCAACTTCGGACATAGTCCGGATGCTGTCGTACCACTGGTGTTCACTAAACCTCGGTTTTGTAGGTTCATCCGTTTGGCCCGACCCTTCAGTAGCACCTGATCCGTCCTTTTTGTGCTCAGGAGGCTCCATATCGACGTCATCAGATGTAGGACTATCAGCCTCGAGCGACGCTCGGACGGCCTTTAGCACCTTTCTGACTTCATCCCTCTTCTCATGTTCACATTCAAGGTGGCCATGTTTGGTGCTACCACAGTACAAACACACATTGACATCCTCAGAGACGGTGAAGAGTTTTCCCAACGCATCCAAGAGTTGTTGTTTTCCGGAAATCTCTGAGTCCCTGACTACATCGGTGGGATCATTTGCTGGCTCATCAGCTTCCTCCTCCCCAGGGTGAGCCGACGACTCGTCACCTGGCTTGGCATCGGCATCAGCGCCCATGCTGGCGTCATCCCCTGTGATGTTGTGCTTTCTTCGATACTGAGAGAATACTTGATCTTTCTCCCAATCTGTGAGGCAGCAGAAGTTGGCCAGCGAGTCATATCCGGGGATTGCGTGGATAATCTTCATGACTCTTTCGGCTTCTGCAGTCTGCAGGGTGCAGTCGAATGATCCTCGTCTCTTGTCATTGATGGTGCTTGTAGTTCTGGAGGTCGATGTGAATTGGGCCAATGCCTTTTCCAATCCGTTGAGATATTCAGCAGGATCAACGCTGGCATTGAAAACATCCACAACTCCCTTGGCCATGTTTGCCACATCCAAGACACCAAGCCAGAACTCGATGATGTCCCCGGTTTTCTCGGCTGATGCACGGGAGAATCCAAAGATCTCGTTCCTTTCCTTCACTTCAGGAACAGCGACCTTCTCGAAGAAGTCCTTGTATGCGACATTTCCGCAGTCTTTCGTGACCCTGTAGACCAGGAGCCACTTCTTCGCGACATCATCGTAAACTCTTTCGCGATAGATGCTGAATTGCTTGCCGCGTCCATTCCGGAAGATTTCCAGAGCTTGCCTCTTCGATATTCTGACTCCCCCCATGTGCGATAGAGACTTCATCAAGTGCTCCCCATACGTCAATAAGGCATTTGAAATCAACGAAGATGCCGTAAACGTAAGCCAAGTTTGAAATCCTTGATTGATGTCAACAATGTCGACACCAAGATCCTCAAATGCGACCTCCAATCTGGCCGCAAGGAGTAAGACAGATTTCCTGGCCTCCAAAGTTGGAGCGGAGCGCTTGTAGTGGTCTTGGGTGTTGGCGGAGCAATTGATGCAATGGGTCGGTTTCGACTGGCATGTTTCGATCTCATCCATCGTCACCGCATTTCTGCAGCTTCCGCATAAGATGTCGGAGCTCTCCTTGTCGATGGTAAACCACATACATCGATCTGAAACAACTGGTTCCAGTTCATGAGTGCCGACCACTGGCTCAACCCATCGGGTCTTAAACCTCTTGTCCTTTGTAAATCTGTTGACGGCGGTTCCAGGGCCTCGTT